ATCATCGTACCAAGCAAACATAGAAATGACAGACTGACGAGCGAAGATTGCACCGACCGCGACCACAGGCATTTCACCGGCAGATCAGCCCAACCAACTCCATCCTCAGCCTTAAGGGACCAGAACAGTTTTTGTCTGCACCTGAAATGCATCCGGTTCACAGCAATACCAGTGCGTTCCAGCACGGTTAGCTCCTTGAATGCACATGATCACATACTGTGAGCCTCCCTGCGTTCTGGGACGGAAGGGGGCTTGGCAGTACATTTAAGCCAATGGCACCAGAGCCACGCCCCCCGGGCCAAAGTGCGATCGCTCACACCGGAACGCATGGCACACCAATGACGATCGCAAAAAAACAATAATGCAAAGTGACTTCGGTGGCCCCAAAGTCGTTCAGTACTTCCTAAGAAAAATAAAATGGAAACAATGTTGCAGCTCGACAGTAATCACTACAGACTACCATATCCTGCCACACTCGGACTCCTCGTCATACAGGGGCCACAGCTGGAGTACAGAGCCGGGAACGCCATGCCCAGATCACACCAATAGAATCCTAGCCCTCAGGGGCAGGGCCCTCCTTACCATCCGCTCTTGGTCTGGTATTGCGATTGTAATGTCTTCCTTATATTGTACAGCGCTGCGCACACTGTTGGCGCTATACAACTCCTGTATAATAATAATTAATCCGCCAGTGAATTGTCAGACGCAGCCGTCGCGTTTACAGAGACGCATTGCAATGTATGGAAAGGAAAAATCCACAGCATTTAAAACTCCGGATCCGTCTGAGATGTCACCGGCTTTAAGTGGGGACAGGGTCTCTTTAAGTGGATTCCCGCGCCCAGCGTGTTCAAGATCTACCTACAGATTAATAAATCAACAGAAAGAAGAACAACTGCAGATCAGCGTGTGAAACATGTCACATTTATGTTTGTTCTCCGCGGAAGTTTTGGGGAATTTTCACACAGAAAAATTAATAAACGCCAACGAGCAGAAAAGCCCAAAATGTACCGACGTCCTACAGATCACCGACCCCAATCCCCAACACATCCAGAGAGGGGAGTACACAGAAACCCGGAGTATCAACTGTCCCTGTGCTGAGTTCCCGGGTCTGTACGCCCGCTGTGCCCATTATGAGGGGTCCTGCACAAGATATATATTCAGCCAATCAGAGGCCGGCACCGACCATCAGAAGAGTACCTGTCACCTGAACACATCACCTGTACGCCGGCCATACACCATCAATATCTTTCTCAGTCACTCGATTCCCAAATCCAGACGAAAGGAGTGAGGAAGGAGGACGCTCCCCTGCTGGATATCGTATTCCGAGAGCCGTTGCCTGCAGCTGTCACAATACCTCAGCAGTGACTGCACCTGATTGGCTGACAATTTTCCACCCAATTCCTCCTTTAAAAATGTACTTCTGTTGAGCTGAGCGGAGCCCCCCAACCAATCGAATCTCAGCAGGAAACAGCAAAATGCGACCCGTGTAAATGTGATCAGATTATCGGAAAGCTGCACTGAGATATAGAGGCCGCCATTGCTGACTTCCCTCTGATTATACTTGTTCTCTGGATCTTTCCAAACGCTGCGCTGGAAGAAGCATGCAGCCAGTGAAGACAGAATTCCTGTTTTGCTGGCTTCAGTAGAAGTTAATGCCGAATACCACTCGCTAGAGAGGACTACAACACCCAGCAAAACTACATTATACAACGCAATGCAGAATACCGCCAGCTATAATGTACTATTGCTGGGATTTGTTGTAGTCCTCTATAGCTGGCGGTATTCTGCATTGCGCTGTATAATGTACTATTGCTGGGACTTGTAGTCCTCTATAGCTGTTGCCATTCTGCATGCATTGCTGTATAATTTTACACTTTTCATTTCACTATATTGCACACCACACCATTTTTTTTTCTTTTTTACTTCCACCGCTCCAAGCTTTCTCCTGTGATGGACTACAACCTCAATACAAACTAGTAGTCCATCACTGGAGCCATTTTTTAAAATGTATTTTATTTTTTAATCCGATTAATCGAACTTAATAATCGGCTAACTAATCGATTTTGAAAATAATCGTTAGCTGCAGCTCTACACACGATACAAATGTTATAAATGGAGTTGCAGTTCGGTGAGTAAAAAAAAAAGTATTTGGTCCCCAAGCAGAACATGACTTAGTACTGGGTGGGGAACCCTTGTTGGGGAGCACAGAGGGGAGACGTTTCCTGGGGGGACCCTTGTTGGGGAGCACAGAGGTGAGACGTTTCCTGGGGGAACCCTTGTTGGGGAGCACAGAGGGGAGACGTTTCCTGGGGGAACCCTTGTTGGGGAGCACAGACATTTCCTGGGGGAACCCTTGTTGGGGAGCACGGCTTGGTTGCCTTGGCGGTACGTTTTAGGTCATTGTCATGCTCAGAGACCCGTCCAGTGTGGGACGGGCCTGTACATGGGCCTTCCTGAGGAGGGAGACCTTGCTGGCGCTGCAGGATCTCAGTCCATGGCGGTGTATTGTGTTACCAATGGTCTGTTTCGTGACTGTGGTCCCAACTGCCCTGAGATCATTCACAAGCTCCTCCCCCCGTGTATCTCTGGGCGGATCCCTCACTTTTCTCATCATCCTCCTCCACCCCATGAGGCGACATCTGGCATGGAGCTCCAGACCGAGGGCCATTGATGGTTATTTTGTATTCCTTCTCCCCGAGCTTCCTGCCGATAGTCTTGTAGCCCATTCCAGCCTCGGGCAGGGCCACAATCTTGTCCCTGACTCCTTCTGACAGCTCCTTGGTCTTCCCATGGTGGGGGAGGTGTGATGGAAGAGAGATTCTGTGGACGGGAGTCTTATATACATAACGAGTTGTCGCTAGGAGCACCTTCTTAAAGTGACAGGACTCGTCTGTGTACCACATGGCCAGTCTGTGGGAGGAGCCATGATTCTTGTGGGTTGCTAGGGGATCAGATCTCTCTTTTCCTCACTGTATATATATATTTGTGTATACGGATGTCTACGGCAACGTTGCGGCACAACATCCGAGCACACACAGAGGCCGGGTAACCTGCAGTCCCTCCAGCTGCCGAGGAACTACAAGTGCCAGCACGCCCGCCCACGCAGGACTCGGCTGGCTGATAAAAGTTTCTGGCCGTCAGCAGCTGCCGATACTCAGATCGGAGACCCGACAACATTCACGGAACCGGCACACAGACATCCTCCATGCTCGGGGGCGATACATTGTTGAAGGTTTACAGCAGCGGGGTGAAAAGCGTACGAATGAAGCTGCACTCCTATAACAAATCCACCTCGCTGCTACAAATTCAGCTACTGATGTCACCGCACACTGCGAGCGCCTCACAATGTGCATTAGGAGCTGCGGCAAGTCAGAGAGAGCCCCGCCCCTCATTTCCTGGCTGGAGGACATCCGGCATCATCTAGCTCTTTCCTCTCCAACCTTACTGTCCCTGTTCTGTCAATCATAGAGGATCAGCATCACACTACCTAGGGGCGGCCTGCGTGCAAATACAGCTAGTCTAGGAACGCCAGACTGACAACCTCCCACCAACGCATTCTGATATTTGCATAACTCCTCCCCAAAATCCGGCCCACTTCATGCTTGAGGGCTTTTGAGAGCAGTAGTGAGGCCGGGTGCTGTGATGTTTCTAGGAAGCTATGTACAGCACCCCGCTGTCCCCTGCCACCAGCATGATTGGTCTGCCTGCATTGCATGGAGAAGACCCAGTGATGACATCACCAGACAGAACGCATGTCATTAGGTTGGGGAGAACCAGGAAGGTAAAAGTCTAAACTCGGCCTCCTTCCTGAGGGTTCTTCTTCATTGAGTCCTCTCCAAGTAAAGAGAAGGAGCATGTTATCACAATACTTGGGGCCCTCTGTGTTCCCCCGGCATCACACTCACCCGGGTGCCACAGGTGGAAATTCATGTATAAAGGAAGTATATATAATGGTTGTCCTCTGGTGTTTTTGTGAAACGCGTTGATGCTACATGCATAATGTGCCCCCTATGGGAGGACAACGCATTTCAACGCAAGGCCTACATTAAAGGGAACCTCTACCGGGACAAACCTGGAGGCCGCCGTCGCTGACCGATCATGGTGATCAACATAGAAGGGGGGGTATCATGCTCCTGCTGACGTCACGTTATTATAGAGCAGGGGAAACTGTCATGCCATCAGAAAACAATACATACAGTTAAGGGAAGAGGCGTCACGCTGCCAATGACGTCACATTTCAGAGCACACAGCTGGGGAGGAGGGGGGTGTCATGCCTCCAGTGACGTTACAGGCCGGTGTACACAGATGGGGGTGTGTCACGGCCACCCGATGACGTCACAGGTGAGTGTATACAGCGCTCAGGATCAGCACGTGCAGCATGGCCCGCCACAAGAGCACCGACGGACCATAACAAACACCACATGGTGTGTGTGTGTGGGAGGAGGGGGTCCCCTCAGTGAAAAGCGCCAGGGGGCTCCATGCCACGGGACTATCCCCACCACCACAACCCCCCGGAGCCCTCACCTGTCAGCAGCGTCCCGTGTCACTCAGCACAGCTCTGCTCCGGCCTCCAGCCACTGCCCGCTTCCTGCTCCACACAAACCATAACAAAGCGCGCACCAAAATGGCGTCCCTGGGCCCGACCATAGACAGCGCCGCCCCGGCCAGAGC